CACGGGGCCAGAGGTTGAGCTGATGCGCAGCGTACCGGACCGCAAACGGCCACAGAAAGTGGGGGGCAGCCGCATGGATCAAGGAGGTACGAGCGACCTCCATGACCAAGCCAATGCGGCGCTCAGCAACCCCATTCTGCTGTGGAGAGGCCGGAAGCGTGAACGACTGGCGGATGCCGTGCTCCGCACAGTAGGCTGCCAAGAGGTCGGAGGAGAACTCACCACCTCTGTCAGAGTGCAGACGCAGGACAGGAAAGTCCGAGCGGAACCGCTCGCTGAGCTGGAGACGAGAAGCGCGGATCCAAGGGATCAAAACATCAGGGACTTCACCCTTGGTGCGCAAGGGGAAGACCGTGGTGTAGCGCGAGTAGTCGTCAACAACGATCAGGAAGTACCTCTCCTGACCCTGTCCACGGACGCGGGCTGGGCCCCACACGTCCATGTGGAGCGTCTGCAAGGGAGCAGTCGTCAGGGGAAACGAGGAGGAGTGAGGAGCGGCGCGCTGCCGCCCCTCGACACAAGGAAGACAGGGAGGAGCAGGCGAGGGTGGGAGGGGAGGGAGTACCCGGGGAAGACCAGAGACAAGGTACCGTTTGTGCATGGCACGAAGGCGCTGTACAGACGGGTGACCAAGGCGGTGGTGCTACAGGACGGTCTCCTGCGCTAGAGAGCGACACGAGCAGGGGGCCGACAGCTGACCTGACGCAGACGCAGCTACCTGAGGGGACTCAGTGGTCAGTGTGTACAGGTCCGACCCCGGCTGCCTAGTGAAGGTAGCCAGGTGACGGCCCGTCCGAGCACACGTGCAGTGTGTCACGCGCTCGTAGGCAGGGGTGAACTGGTGGACACCCCCGTCCTGGAGCGCACAACCCGCCACCAAGTTCGTAGAGAACGAGGGGAGGTGAAGACCTGACAGTGTGCCCGACGGAACTGCAGGACAAGGAAAGACAGTGGAGGAGGTCGCAATGACCGGACCCCCAGAGGGGTCAGCGAGGGAGACAGCTACTGGCCGAGCAAGCTGCTCAAGGGCAGTGTGGTCACGAAAGAAACAGCGAGAAGCACCTGAGTCCAGTGTGAAGGTGTGCAGTGCCTCAGTAGACTCAGTACCAGGGGGCGCAGACTCAGTAGCACCTAGAGCAGCAGCCTCACCAGTACCTGGGGCAGTAGACACGCGAGTACCTGGAGCGGCAGTCTCACCAGCACCTAGGGCAACAGACGCACTAGCACCTAGAGCGGCAGCCTCACTGGTCCGAATGCCCGGGTCGGGCGGAACACGCAGGTACTGAGCACCCTCTCCACTAGTAGACAACACATACATGGCAGTGAGAATAGCATCAAAGTCAAGAGCATAGATATCAATGTTCTTCTTCATCAGGTCAGCCCAGCGGGGCAGCTCAGTGGCAGTAGGGAACTGAGTGCGCCAAGCGTCGTCAAGGCGGGAGAAAGCAGCGCTGCGTGGTGTGCGCCCTCCCACACGTCTGGCCAGTGCGGTCACCAGTGCGGATGACGTACGTGCAGCTAAGGCCACCCCCCCCCCCCCCCCCGTGCTGAGAGTACCACTCACGAAGCTCCTGGGAAGACGGAGTGTGCTGCTGGCTCTGGCCACCGCCAGCGCCTCCACGACCACCACCGCCGCCTCCACCACCTCGACCACCACCGCCCCTGCCGCCTCCGCGTCCACCGCCACCCCAACCACCGCCCCCACCCCGGCCACCTCCTCCGCCGCTGCCGTCACCACCCCCACCGCTGCCACTAGCCCCTCCAGCCCCGCCACCACCCCCACCGCCGCCACCCGCCCCCACCACCCGCCTCCCCCGCCGTCACCTCCACCTCCCTTGCCCCCTTTGCCCTTGCCGCTGCGGCGCCAGCTCGGAGCGGACGTAGTCCCGACCTGCTCAGTACCAACTAGGTCGACAGCAGCAGCAGAGGCGACAGAGGGGAGAAGGGGGGAAGGGGAACACCCCTCGAAGAACGGGGTGCGGGGGTCGCCACGAGAGGAAGCTACAGCGACTATGCTAGTCTCAGCTGCAAGCAGTTCCTTCTCGAGCAGGTCAACGGTGAGCTCAGTGGGGCAGCGAGCAAGGAAGTGGTCCCTGACCGCACGAAGAGAGTCAGGGAGACGGGTGACCAGGTGGTAGAGAGTGAGCCAGAGCGGGGGGGGGTGGGTGGCAAGAAACGGGCATAGCGGCACGGAAGCGGGCCTCACTAGTGCGGAGGTGCGTGATGAGGTCAGCGACTGTGGAGAAAGCGGACAGGTCGGGGAACAGGTAGGGGAGCGAGAGACGGCCTAGCGCAGCAGAGGCAGGTAAGGAGTAGCGTGCCACGACAGCAGTGTACAGTGCCTGTGCTGTTTTGTGCTGGCCAAAGTGCCCACGCTCATCGATCGGCAGGGAGTTGCGAATAGCGAAGCGTGTGTGGGCGTCGCGAGTCTGCCACTGTGAACGGGCAGTACTGTCAGCAGTAGCAGCAGGGGCAGCAGCATGGCCTAGCGCGTGATCGTACAGTGAGATATCCTCCTTGGCAGTGAGCTGGAGGAATAGGTGCAGGTCATCGAGCCAGGTCTCAAACTTCAATGGGCGGCCCTCAGCATCGAAAGCTAGTACAGAGGGACTAGCCATAGTTGTAGTAACAGCAGTAGTAGAAGCAGTAGTAGTAGTTGGTGGGGCACAGTAGGGCGGCGCGGCTCGGTTCGGGGCGGCGCGGTTCGGTTCGGGCGGCGCGGCTCGGTTCGGGCGGCGCGGCTCGGCTCGGACTGGGCTACGCGGCGGTGCGCAACGGGGGGCGTGCGCGTGGGCGGCTGTAGCGCGGGTATGACTAGTGCGCCGGCGGCGGCCTAGAGGGGTGTCGCGGCGGCCTAGAGGGGTGTCGCGGCGGTCTAAGGGGGGGCTGCGACGCTCTGGGCGGCGGTCGACGGGCGGCTAGGAGGGCTGCTCGTGGGCGGCGACGGTCGCGCGGGCGGCTAGGGGTCGGCGGGCGCTTAAAAAACGGTCGCGCGCGGGCCGCTAGCGGGCTGCGCGCGCTAAAAGAAAATGCCGCGCGCGGCACTAGCGAGCTGCGCACGGGCAGCAGGAGGAAGAGAGGCGCACGAGGGCGCGCTAGGAGAGAGGCGTTCGAGGGCGCTAAAGAGATACGGCGCTCGAGGGCGCTTCTAGCGGAACGGTGGGCCCAACGTTCGGTCCTAGGTTACTACCTAGGCTCGTAATACCATGTTAGAATGTAAGAACGAGAATGATGGACTAGCAAGAGAATGAGAGTACAAGTATGACAAACCTAGAGTTGTGTACCCCCTAGAGGCTAACCCACAATAGCCTACACAAATATAACACATACAATGTTTGACAAATTCAAGAGTAGCACTCACTCGGGTGCAAGAGGGGTGCTCGCGGCGGCGACGGAGTTTTTCAGAGATTCCTTCGGCGGCGGCGGGGAGACGGGCCCTCACGAGACGAAACCGAGGATTATGCGCCGGACGTTGTGTGACGCCAGCTGTAGTGCCCTCAGCGCGCCATGGTCGGAGGAGGAAGTTCGGACAGCGGTACGCGAGCTAGCTCCAGGAAAGTCACCTGGTCAGGACGGCCTTCTCAAGGAGCTGTTCGAGCACAACTGGGACTTGCTTGGCCCAGTTCTGATGCAGTTCGTTGGTGACTTCACGCGAACGGCGGTGCTTCCCCGTGACATCTCGGCCGCGGTCACGATCCTGCTGCATAAGAAGGGGAGCAAGGAGGAGTTAGGAAATTACAGGCCAATCACGCTGCTAAGCACGGTCTACAAGGTGTTAGCGAAAGTTATGGCGACAAGGTTTAAAGAAGTTCTGCATGAGATGATTTCGGAGGATCAGGCGGGGTTTTTACCTGGTCGGAAACTGGCGGATGCTGTTGCGGTGGTAGCGGACGCTATTGAGGCGGGGGTCAGCGGCAGGAAGGACTGGTTCCTCCTAATGGTCGACTTTCAGAAGGCCTTCGACTCCATCTCGAGGCCTTTCCTTTTCCGTACGCTGCGAGGGATGGGGGTTCCGGAGCAATTTGTGTCTTGGGGCGGAAGGCCTGCACACAGGAGCAGGAACACGGTTACATATCAACGGATGGACAGGCGACAAAGTTGCGGTGGAAAACGGGGTACGACAAGGCTGCTCGCTGGCGCCGTACCTCTTTTTGTGTGCGGTGGAGCCGCTCTGCCAGGAGTTCGCGCAGCGGAGGCTGGGCATCGGCGGCGGAGACACAGGAAGGCTGGCGTATCTGGGGTACGCCGATGACATGTCATTCCTGCTGCAAGGGGAAGAGCAGCTTGCTGCCGCGGCTGAGGCGCTGGAAATTTTCGGGAAGGCATCGGGGCTGAAGGTGAACAAGGATAAGACGGTGGTCTTTCCACTCGGGAAGAACAGAGGGAAGCCTCCGCCGGCGGGCCTGCAGTACAAATGGGCTGACAAGGATGCACCAAAGAGGTTGTTGGGTGCCTGGATCACTCCGAACGGCGACCTGTCAAACATATGTTATAGCCTGTTTAGGCTGTAGTGGGTTAGACCATAGGGGGTACAGCATTTCTACAGTTTCCCTATATGTACCCATCTCCTTTCTAGTTCAATTATTCCTCGTATTATTCTCACATGGTATAGAGCGGGTTCCCTAGTGGGACCAGGTTTTTTTTTTTTAGGGCCCACCACTGCGAATTTTTTTTCTTACCTGCCCGAAGCGCGCTTCACGCTTGCCTTATCTGCGCCCCGTGCGCCTGCCCTCCCGTCGCGCGCTCTGCCCTTAGCGGCCCTGCCCTTAGCGGCCCGTCGCGCCCTGTAACGGCCCCTTCGCGGCCCCTTCGCGGCCCTTCGCGGCCCCTCTCGCGGCCCTTCGCGGCCCCCCTCGCGGCCCTTCGCGGCCCCCCCTCGCGGCCCTTCGCGGCCCCCTCGCGGCCCTTCGCGGCCCCTTCGCGGCCCTTCGCGGCCCCTTCGCGGCCCTTCGCGCCCCCCCCCCTTCGCGGCCCTTCGCGGCTCTTCGCGGCCCGCCTGCTCATCGTAGCGGCCCCTGCCGCCCCGTCGTCGCCGCCCGCTTGCTCGTCGTAGCGGCCCCTGCCGCCCCGTCATCGCCGCCCCTGCAGCAACTGTCGCGGCCACCTGCCCTGCAGCAGCTGCCGTCGCCCCTGCTGCCGCCGTAGCGGCCCTGCTGCCGCTGCCGAGCCAGCAGCTGCCCTGCCGGCCCTGCTGTCCCGGCCCTGCCCTGCCGCCTCGCCGCGGCCCCTCCTTGTGGCGGCCCTTGCCCTGCCGACGTGCCCCGGCCCTCCACTCCCGCCTCTGGTAAGCGCACCGCCGCACCCGCACGCTGCTGCGCCCGCGCTGCCCTGCCAAGCCGCGCTGCCCTGCCGAGCCGCGCCGCCCTGCCGAGTCGCGCTACTGCTGCTGCCGCTAGGCCACTGCTGCTGCTTCTGCTGCTATGGCCAGCTCCTAACGTACTCACCTTCGATGCTGAGGGTCGAGCGGTCTATTTTGAGGTCTGGGTCGATGATCTGCAGCTGTTCCTGCAGTGCGATAGCAAGGATGGAGTCTCACTTTTTGACCTCACTTCTGGCGCCTCTGCTGCACCTGCTGCTGATGCTGCCAGTACTGTTCGCTCACAGTGGACCACGCGCGATGCTGCTGCCCGTCTTGCTGTTCGTAGTCACCTGCCGTCTGCTGAGCGCGGCGCACTTTAGCCAGTACAAGACCGCTAGCACTCTGTACGCTGCTGTTGTTGCGCGCTACTCCTCCCCTGCCACTGCTGCCCTTAGCCGCCTCATGCTGCCATACCTGTTCCCTGACCTAGCCGCTTTTGCCACAGTCGCTGACCTCATTACGCACCTCCTGCCGAGTTATGCGCCAAGAACCCCCCCTCTATGTACATCACTCTCTACTACCTCGTCACCCGGCTCCCTGACTCCCTTAGCTCGGTCAGGGACCACTTCCTCTCCCTTTGCCCCACCACGCTCACCGTTGACCTCCTCGAGGAGCGCCTCCTTGCAGCTGAGAAGAGTATAGTCACTGTAGGAGCCTCTCGTGGTGACCCTCGTGCCCCTTTCTTTGAGGGGTGCTCCCCCGTCCCTCTTTTGCCCTCTGTTGCCCTCTGCTGCTGCTGTCGACCTCGTTGGCACCGAGTCGGTCGGCGCTGCGTCTGCCCCTAGTGGGAAGCGCCGCTACGGCAAGGGCAAGGGGGGCAAGGGGGGTGGAGGGGATGGCGGGGGCGGCGGTGGTGGCGGTGGAGGAGGTGGAGGGGGTGGGGGTGGAGGTGGGAGTGGTGGCGGGAGTGGGGGCTTCGGCGGCGGCGGTGGAGGTGGAGGCGGCGGAGGCAGCGGGAGTGGGGGTGGAGGTGGTGGCGGCGGCGGCGGAGGTGGGGGTGGCGGGGGCGGTGGTGGGCAGCGGGGAGGCTCTAGCGGTGGCCAGCGCCAGCAGCAGCAGCGCTCCCGTGAGACCCCGTCGCCTCAGCAGCTCCGTGAGTGGTTACTCTGGGCGTGGGAGGGTCTGGGGGTGCTGGTCCCTGCACTTACGTTTCTTCGCACCGGCGACCGCAGTGGAGAGACGTGCGGCGGCCCGCACACCACGCCACGCTGCTTCGGCCGCCTGACTGACGCTTGGCGTACACAGTTCCCTGGCTCCACTGAGATCCCTCGCTGGGATATTCTGCTTAAGTCAGGGGTTGCTATCTTTGATCTTGATTATGATGCTATCCTTGCTGCTATGTATGCTGTGTCTATTAGTGCTGAGGGTGACTGTTACCTGTGTGTTCCGCCCGACCCGGGCATTGAGGCTGCTGCTCTAGGTGCTAGTGATTCTGCTGCTCTAGGTGCTTGGTGAGGCTGCTCTCTCAGGGTACCGCGTCGGCTCAGGTTTTGCACACTTTCACCCTTGACTCGGGTGCTTCCCGTTCCTTCTTTCGCGACTGCACCACACTCTCGCCGCTCAGTCGGCCTGTGGCAGTCTCTCTCTGGCTGACCCCACTGGGGGTCCGGTCCTTGCACACTCCTCCACGGTCCTGCCGTGTCCGGCGGTCCCGTCTGGCTCTCTGTCTGGGCCTCCACCTCCCCTCGTTTCTCCACGAACTTGGTGAGTGGAGCTGACCTTCAGGACGTGTGGGTTGACCAGTTCACTCCTGGAGGTCGGCGGGTGACCCACTGTTCCTGTACTCCGGACGGGCCGGGCACCTGGCCACGTTCACACCCGTCAGCCTGGGCGAGCCTGTACACCCTGACTACCGTGTCTCCTCCGGTTGCTGAGTCTGGTCGGGTAGCCGCGTCGGGTCAGGTGTTTGCTGCAGCGTCCCGGTCTGGCCCTGAGTCTGCCCCCTGGTCGTGTCGCCTCCTGTCTCACGAAACTCTCCTTTGGCACCACCCCCTTGGTCACCCCTCCCTGCCTCGTCTCCGAGGCATGGCCTCCTCCGTGTCCTTGTCTCAGGTCTTCCTGAGTCCCTCCCCACCCCTTCCTCCGGGGCCTTGCCCCTACCTGCGTTCCCTGCGTCGAGGGCCGGCAGCGCGCCGCTCCTCACTCCTCCGAGTTTCCTCCGACAGAGGCTCCCCTGCAGACTCTTCACATGGACGTGTGAGGGCCCAGCCCGCGTCCGTGGACAGGGTCACGAGCGTTACTACCTGCTGGTTGTTGACAACTACTCGCGTTACACCACGGTCTTCCCCTTGCGCCGCAAGGGTGAGGTCACTGAGGTGTCGATCGACTGGATCCGCGCTGCTCATCTCCAGCTCAGAGAGAGTTTTGGCTCGGACTTTCCTGTTCTGCGTCTGCACTCGGATAGAGGTGAAGAGTTTCCTCCGACCTTCTGCGAGCTTTTTGTCGGGCGGAGGGCATCCGCCAGACGTTCACACGCTTCCGCCCTCTCCACAGCAAAATGGGATTGCTGAGCGCCGCATTGGCATGGTCATGGATGTCGCTCGTACGTCCATGATCCATGCGGCTGCTCCCCATTTTCTGTGGCCCGTTCGCGGTTCAGTACGCGGCGCATCAGATCAACCTCCAGCCCCGGGTCTCCATGCCGGAGACCACCCCCACTCTGCGGTGGACGGGAAGGTTGGCGATGCGTCTGCAATCCGTGTCTCTGGGGATCTCGAGCTTTCGTCCGCGACTTGTCTGCGGACAAGCTGTCCTCCCGTGCCGTTCCCTGCGTCTTTCCTTGGCTTCCCCCCCGACCCGCCTGGTTGGCAGTTTTACCACCCCACCTCGCGCCGTGTTCTGTCCTCTCAGGACGTCACGTTTGAAGAGTCCGGTTCCTTACTACCGTCTCTTCCCCTACCGCACTGCCCCCTCCCCCCCCCGCCGCTCTTCCTCGCGCGATGGTACTCCTCCGGTAGACCCCCTTCCCCCTCAGGGTCCCTGCCCCCTCAGGTGTGTCTCAGGTAGACGCAATCGAGCCTGTTGAGGTAGCTGTTGACTCTGGTGCTGCTAGGGGTGCTGAGCCTGCGGGTGCCGAGTCTGGGGGTGCTGAGCCTGGGGTTGCTGAGTCTGGGGGTGCTGAGCCTGGGGGTGCTGAGCCTGGGGTTGCTGAGCCTGGGGTTGCTGAGTTTGTGGGTGCTGCGCCTGGGGGTGCTGTGTCTGGGGGTGCTGAGACTGGAGGTCCTCCGAGTGTCCCGTCGCGGCGGGAGCCCCTCTCTCCACGGCAGCTTCGTGAGTGGTACGCTCGGCGCTGTAGCCGTGCTGCTGGAGCTGGGGGGCCTGCTGCTGGAGGTGCTGCTGGTGCTGGAGCTGCTGGTGGTGCTGCTGGAGGTGCTGCTGGTGCTGGAGCTGCTGGAGATGCTGCTGGTGCTGGAGCTGCTGGTGGTGCTGCTGGAGGTGCTGCTGGTGCTGGAGCTACTGGAGGTGCTGCTGGTGCTGGAGCTGCTGGAGCCGCTGGTCCTGGAGGTGCTAGTGCTGGAGGTACTGGCGCTGCTGGAGGTCCTGCTGGTGTTGGAGCTGCTGGCGGTGCTGGAGCCGCTGGTCCTGGAGGTGCTCGTACTGGACGTACTGGCGCTGCTGGGACTGGAGCTGCTGCGGGAGTTGGAGCTGGAGCTGTTGGAGCTGGTGGTGATGCGGGAGTTGTAGCTGGAGACCCTGGAGCTGAGGGTGCTGGTGCTGTCTCTGCTGGTTCAGGAGGCGCTGCGCGGGCCGCGGCCGTACCACGTTCCGCTCCTTCAGCAGGTTCTTGGCCTCCCGCCTTCTACTACTGTCCTACTCCTCCCCTTGAGTCCACCGCCTGTCCAGTCGCAGTCACAGTTACAGCCAGCCTCTCCTCTGCCTGGTCCTTCTCCTTACTCTGGACCGACTAGAGGTCTTACGGAGCGTCGTGAGTCTGAGTCTCGTCCTGCGTCACCTGAGTCTCAACCAGAGTCGCCTGTCCGCGCTGTCCGCACTGGTCGTCGTGTTCCGCGTGAGCGTCCTCCTCCTTTCCTTGCCACCTCACTATATGACTCTGCGTCCTTCCACTGCTCCACAGCGTGTCCCTCTGCCTTCTCCTCCTGCATCCTCTCTTCCTGACGGTCCGGACCCGGAGTCTGACTCCCTTCGTGCTACCAGTCCTACTGTCACGCGTTTCCTCGCTACTGTTGTCACTGACCCTTCCTTTGAGTCCACTGCTGCGTCTGCTCTAGTTGCTGAGCTTGTTGACTTGCTGCTGCCGCCTGTCGTCTAGACTACGCTGCTAGCCTTGTTGCTGAGTCTGAGTCTGTCTGTCCTCCGTCCGTCGGGGGTGAGTGTGCACTTGGCACGGACGTCCTTGTGGACAGACAGGAGGAGTTTGAGTGCTTTGCCGCTGCTTTGCCTCATCTCGTGTCCATGCTGATTGCCCCTGAGGGAGACCCGGATGCACCAGACATCCCGACCCCGCGCTCTTACGCAGAGGCGATAGAGGGTCCCTACTCCTCTCAGCGGCAGTCAGCCATGGACGCAGAGATGGCTTCCTGGAAGTCCACAGGCACCTACGTCGACGAGGTTCCCCCGCCTGGGGCAAACATCGTCAGTGGCATGTGGATTTTCAGGGTGAAGCGGCCGCCGGGTTCTCCGCCTGTCTTCAAGGCGCGTTACGTTGCACGAGGCTTCAGTCAGCGTGAGGGAGTTGACTTCTTCCAGACCTTCTCCCTACCCCGAAGATGACCACTCTTCGGGTTCTGCTACACGTCGCCGCTCAGCGTGACTACGAGCTCCACTCTCTTGACTTCAGCACTGCGTTCCTATAGGGCAGCCTGCACGAGGAGATCTGGCTGCGCCGCCCACCTGGCTTCACTGGGTCGTTTCCTCTCTGGTACCCAGTGGAGCCTCCGGCGGCCAGTCTACGATCTCCGCCAGGCACCCCGTGAGTGGCACGACACACTGAGGACGACTCTTGCTGCTCTTGGTTTTGCTCCTTCTACTGCTGACCCGTCGCTGTTTCTACGCACCGACACCACTCTGCCGCCGTTCTACGTTCTCGTGTACGTAGACGACTTGGTCTTTGC